TTTTATAGATTATTTTATTATGATCTAATAAAATTTATGTGATATAATAAAAAAAATAATTGTAATATTGAATTTTTTAATTTTTAAAGATTTTTTAAATTCCTTGACAATTTTTGTTACAATTATATATTTTTAAATTGCTTTTAATTAATGGAAAAATGATAAAATAACTATAAATTTTATGCTTTTTGATTTTGTACATTATTTGATATTTTCATTATTTATAATTATAAATGATTGCATGTATTTCCATCTTTTTATTTTTATTTTTCTTCATCTTTGTTTTATTAATAATTTGCTAATATTATAAATAAATTTTTGCTTTTTTTTTGATGTTTATATTACAATATTTATATCATATATTATTAAATATATTTAAATATATTTATACAAATACTAATTAGATATATTTTTATCATTTTTAAATATTTATTAATGTTTTTAAAAACAAAAATATAAATATTATAATTTTTTTATAAATTATTGATAATATTTAAGAATTTTTATATATATTAATAATTCATTGAAATTATTATTTAATAAATTTAATAAAAAATTCTATAAATTTTTTTGGAAATTTTATTAATATTTATATAATTATATCTATAAAAATACTTCATATCTACTGTATATATATTTATTTAGTTATATATATACTTAGTTAATAATTTTTAAAAATTTATTATTATTAAACAAAATATCATCTTGAATGACAACCATTAAATACAACTATTTGTTCATTTCTTTATTTACATTGTATTATGGCTTAAAGATAAATTCAACAATATCATATTTAATTTTGAATTCAAGATCATTTCTAGTTTATAATGTAGTAAGTTAATATAATTAAATTTATCTTGAAATTAAGTACAAAATACTTACAGTCAAAAATAATATTATTGTAAATAATTAAAAAAAGTACAAATGACTTTCATTTCTTATTAAATATAAATTTTTGTTATATTATGTATATTGCAACTTATTGTTTATTATATTATTTTATTATATTATATTATAATTAATTTTTATTCGAAATTTTCTTGTTAAGAAGAAAATCTAAAAAATCATGATAATCATTATAATGAACACTCTTCATACTTGCTAACAAGGCTTGAACAACACTGTTACATGTAAAGCAAGGGGTTAATCATGCTATTCAAATGATTATTTCTGACCGGTCAGGGCCGCGTTTCGCACATAATGATAAGGAACCTTCTATCTGTTTATAAGCTTTCGTTAAAAATATATTTGGAGATTTTAAAGAAACACAATAGTTAACAAAAAATTGCATAAACAATTGCATGATATTTCATTAAAATTTTCTATGAAATAAATTTTTAATTAATACAATATTTGTTGGGTGTGTAAATTCCAGAATCATATAAGAATATCTAAAAAAAGAAAATAGATTTAAGTTTCATTTTACTTAATACAAACTTTAATTACTTATAAACTTTAATAAATAAGCTTCAAATACTTTAATAAATATTTGATAAAAGAGTATTCTAATATAAAATATATTAATAATTATATTTTTGAATTTTATTTAATTTTAAAATAATTTAAATATATTTTAATTCTTTTAAAAAATTGATTTTAAAAAAATTAATAAAATTTTTTAACCATTTTTTAAACAAAATAATTTTCAATCAACAATGAAATATTTTATTTTTATATTTTGTTAGAATGAAAAAATGTAAAATTTTTATATACGAATTATATATATATTTATAAATTATAAAATATTATATTTATAAATTATAAAAATATATTTTTTAATTAATTTTTTTTAATAATTTATACAATTTTTATATTAAATAATATTTTATTATTATAATATTAATAGTAATAGAGTATTTTTTTAAATGAAATATATTTTAAATTATTTAATATTTTGGTAAAAAAATAATAAAGAACAAAATTAAGAAAATCAAAATAAAAAAAAACTAATTATGAAAAAAATTATGAAAAAAATTCAACTTTTTTTAAAAAAAATGGAGCATGGAACTTATTCACAATCACAATATTAATAATAAATAATATATTAGAAATAAATTATAGACATAATTTCTGCTACCAGCGATAATTTCTTTTAAATCATAAAAGAAAATATATCTTTTGGTTTAGAAAAAGGAACGAGATCTCAACTTAAGGGTAAACATTTAAACCAGGTAACATTAGCAATGTCGCATTGGTTTATCTTCTTTCTTTTTTTTTTTTTCCCCATCTCTATAACGTATAATTTCAAAATTTTCATGAAATATTTCATTTCCAAAAAAGAACTACTTATAAAAATAAAAAAAAAAATTAAATAGAAATTTCTCTTGAAATATTTTCAATATATTATTGTGTAGATTTGTTTAAAAAATTTATTATGTAAAAAAAATGTGAAAAAGAAAATTTTATTTTAAACTGTGTTAGATAGAAAAAATATTTCTTGATAATTAGTTATTATTTTTAGAAATTATTTAAGAGAAAATATTATTATACAAGTTATTTTACTATACAAGAAACAAGACTTTGAAAGAAGAATAAAAAAAATATTTAATTAATATATTAAGAAAATATATATGTATATTCATATAAAATATTCTTATTATATTGTACTATTTGCACTATTTTTAAATATAGCTATTTTTTAAATATAGCTGATTCATATTTTAAAATAGGAAATTATAATAATTCACAATATAAGAAAGAAAAAAATTTAAATTTTATTGAATTTTGAATTTTATTACAATATGTTCATATTCATAAGAATATTCATGCAATAAGAATATTGTATATATTTCAAGAATTAATAATAAATATAATTAACTAAAATATTTTCATAATTTATGCACATATGTCAATATGTTTTTCAAGACAATTTTTAAAACAAAATATTAAAAAAAAATTCATATCAAATAAAAAGAATGGTACATATTTTTAAAATAATTTATGTACATTCAATATTTAAGATTATTAATATTATTTATTTTACACTTGTTTAATAAAAGAAAAATATTTCATCTAAATTTTATTTAGATATTCTGCATATCTGTGAAATAAATTTTATCATTGAAGAATTTTTAATTTTATCCAAATATAATTTTTATTTCTTTGATATTATGTATATAATTTATATTAAAGTATTATATTATTGTATTTTTAAAATACTATATTTTTTCAAAATTCTAATATAAATTTTTAATTTTAATTTAATGTAAACAAAATATTGTAAATAAAAAAAATTACATTTTTTCTTGATTATTAAGACTTTTATTTTTATTGATTACTTCAAATAAGAAAACATTTTTATTTTAAGAAATGATAAATAATACAAATTTATTATGAAAATTTAAGTTTTTAACTTTAAAAATTTAAGTTTTTTACTTCATACTTTAAATAATTTTTTATTTTTGGTAAATTTATAAATTAATCATTCTTCCACCAATTTCGATAATTTCTTGTTATAGAAATCGATATTTTAAATAACTTTTGTTTTTCATAAAAATGTCAAATTCTCTTGGTTTCTGAGATATTTGCAAAAAATTATTACTATTATTATATTATATATAATATAATATATATATGTCTGTAATTATATTTATATGTCTCTATCAGTACGTTATGTATGCGACTGATACGTTTATTTACTGTTTTTTATAGTTATATTGCAGTACAATTTTTACTTCAAAATAATTACTCAAAAACAGAAAATATTCTAAGTATATAAATTTTAATTCGATTTTAAGAAATCGAATATAAATATAAATATATTAAATGATAATTTATAAATATTAATTATTTTATATTAAATAATTTTTAATATTGGACATTTTTCTACAATTTTAATTTCAAATAACAAAAATTTAACAAATTATTTTTACGAATAAATAAAAACAATTCATTATGAAGAAAAAAATTAATTATAAACATGCAACATTTTATATATGTGTGATAAAAGAAATTTTATTAAGTTTAAAATTATTTTGATCACATTAATATTAGTTAAATTCGGTAAGTTATCAAAAATATTTAAAATTTGAGATGATGAACAATTTGATATGATAGAAAAACGAAACATTAGAATTAAAAATATTTGAAGATTCCTTTTAATTATAAAATCCAGTTTGACAACGCACTGAATGTTAAGAAATACTTTTTAAAAAGTTATAATAAGAAAATCATGATATTAATATCCGAATATTGAAAAATATTATTTTATAATACAATCAAATGTTATATTCAAAAACAAACTTAGAGATAATATCTAATAAAAACTAATAAAAATTCTAATAAAAACTTTTAACAAAAAAAAAAGTTAACCAGTTTAAATGTTTTAAATCATTTTAAAATTAATATTGATTTTCCAGAATTTACAAATAATCGAATCGCTTTATTTAAAATTACAGAATTAGAAAAATGAAACACTTTTGAGACTGTTTGATCGCTCTTATTTTAGATTCCTCTTCTACTTCTATTCCTCTCGAATCCTCGATAAGAAAATTTATATAAAAAATTCATATAAAAAATATTACTAATTACTTTATCGAATATGTTTTCAATGTTTGCAATAAATTTTATTCTATATATAATATTAATGCATATATTAATAATCCTCTATAATTGGAATGTTATTTGCTTAGAATAAAAATTGAAATTAAATTGTTATTTTATATGTTGATTTGAAAAATAAAAATATATAAATACAATAAATATGTTTGATAATAATGTAATAATATAAAATATATTTGATAGTATTGTAGTAATATAAAATATAAAATACAATAGTTACAAATAATTAAAATAAGATTTGAAAAAATATGTACATATTCATATGAATATATAATAATGAATATATATAATATAATAGCTTTTAAGTCACATGATGATATAGAATAAAAAATCAAAAATAGTTTTTTTGCGATACATAAAAGATTCTTTTCATCAAAGCATCGAAAAGAATCGTGACGGTGAATCAGCAAGCAAAAGAAGGGCGTAAAGCTGAGACTCACTGGTGAAACCACCCCGCGTCGTCCGCTAAGTGCCAGGGTAGCTCTCTGTGTCTCTGGGCGCGCACATAGACGTTTCTCCCCCGTAGATTTCCAAAACTCTTTTTACGCACCTCTTCTTCACTTGTTTCACTGAGATGTGCGTGTATTTCTATATATGTATGCTCGTATCACTTCTCGAATCGATATAATTAGCAAGAACCAAACAAGCAAATGTAATAAACGCGAACCGGATAAGCTAATAGGAAGAGTAAACGAAACGTCGATTACTTTGAACGAAGAAATATTTTTATGTAGATTCGTTCCTAGATCTTCCGATAAGATATAAACAGCGTTGCGTTGAACTGATCACTGATCCGCACCGCTGAAACTATAGTAATACTATGCGTGACGATTCGTTTCAAACTACTACTATGGGATACGAGGAAGAAAAGACGATATCTCGAATCTCGGAGAAGGACACTATAACCGCTCTCACGTTTGCTCTCTCTTTTTCTCTCTCTCTTTCTATGCGTTACCCGATTATATGAATTTTATATCTCTTAATTATAGTTAAACACAGCCTCTAAAAATCACGAGGAGCGTTTTTCGAAAGATTGATGGAGAGAAAAGAGAGAGATCCGAGCGAACGAACAACTCCGAAACGTTCGAGGAGCTAGACGCTTCCCTGGTGGGATCCGGTACACGACTGAGGCGCCCTCTCGCCCCGCCCAGAGGCGCAACGGCACCCACAGTCGCGAGGTTTGACGGGACATCGATCGATCCACCGACTGGCCCCACCACTCATCATCCCACTCCATGGGATGACAAGGAGAAATCAAATTAAACGCATGCGCGGGATTTCGTCCTCGATAGTTGAAAATCGACTGACTTTCGTGGAATCGAATTCATCTAGTCGAAGATTTAAAATTTTTTCTATTATTTTAGAAAATTGAAATAATTTTTAAGATTTGAATTTTTATATGTTAAGCTTAAAGATTTAAATTAATTTGATAAATACAATGTAAAATATAAATCAAATTCGAAATATATATACTTACATATAAATAATTACATATACATCTGCTATTCATTTACTTAAAGTAAAAAAATTTTATAATTTGAAATTTAAATTTTTTTTTAAATATTAATAATTTTAAATTTGCAAATTTGGTATTGAAAAAAATTTAGAATCAAATTTGAAAACTAAAATTTTAATAAAATTTAAAAAAGGAAAAAATAATAGATTACATAAAATATAAATATTAAAATTTTTTGTGATATTTCTAAAAATGAAAAAAATTAATATACATATATACAAACACAAAATTATAAAAGAAATATAATAGAATAATTTCTTACAATAAAATAAATTTAAATTAAATTTAGAAAAATAGAAACAATAATATTTTTTATTTAATATTTATTTTATTTAAATTTAGAAATAAAAAAAAATCATTTCTTAAATTAAAAATAAAAAACAATTTAGTTTATTAATATATTAAAAAGAATAAAAATTCAAAATTTGAATACAAATTCTTTAACTTATAATTAAGTTATTAAGTTAATATTAACAAAATTTTTTAAAATATTTAAAAAATTTTTGTTTTAATATTTTTTAAACACATGACGATTTTATATATTCTAGAAAATATTATAGAAAATAGTAATAGTAAAGTTATTCTGTTTTATATCATTTCAAACTTATTCATTAAATTTTCGATTATAAATAAATCTATAAGTTAGAAAAAAAATTAGAATTTATTAGAAGAATTTATTAGAAAAATAATAAATGAATAATTGAATTACAAAAAAAATGAGAAAGATTTTTTAATTTTATTTTTATTATAAATAAATACAGTATATATATAATAAAAAATATATATAATATATTATATATATATAATTATTAAAATCAAAGTATAAAATATAATTTAAGAAATTAATTTCATTATTTTTATTTTATAATAAATATTGAACAGATATTTTTTTTCTTATTATTATTATTATAATCAGTATAATGAATAAACAAAATAGAAAATTTTAGCTATATATTTACATTATATTTAAACAAAATTATTATATTTGATATTAATAAAATGTATTTAAAAATATTCTAATAAAAAATAATATTGAAATTTATCTTCTTTTTATATCGTAAATTAAATAAAAAAATTTTAAAAAATACACATTTATCTTTAAATAAGAACTTGGCATTTCTTTCTTACATAATTATATTCAATGATTATAGTTTCATACACGATAATAAATTCATAATTTCATAATCATTCATTAATAAATTCATGAAATTCTTTAAAAAATCAATTCTATAAGATAAAATAAACATAAATGAAAATATTAATTCAGATATATTTTTTAAATTATAAGCAATTATTTTTTAAATTATAAATTATTCAAGTTTATGTTAAATAAAACATAACAAAGAAAGCAGAAAAATACATTATATATCATCTCACTTTATCTCAGAATTTTACATTATAATTATAAATTTTTATTATAATTATTATTCTTTTTAATTTTTTTCAATTCTTTTACATTTATATTTTTATCACAAACAAAATAAATTCTAATAAAATAAATCAATTATAACATAAATAAGAAAGAAAAAGCAATTCTAATTAGATTTAAATTAATCTTTTCATACAAAAATATGTAATCACATATTTAATATGTCCATTTTTCTAATTTAGTATTTTTTGTTTTTTTTTATTTTATTTTTTTTAAAACTTTTTATAATTATAAAAAATCACAATATTTGAAAAATATTGATTTTGAAATTATTTTATATTATATTTTTTTTTATTTAATAAAAAAATAATATATTAAGTGAGTATAAAAATTGTAACATAAGAAAAATAAAATATTATATTTATACATAATTATTTTTATGAAAAATTGTTTTCACATAAGAGAAAATAACATGTAAATAACATAGTATTTGTTAATATTATATTTCATTATTTTTACTAAAAAAAAATTGATATTTAAAAAAATAATAGTTAATAAAATTAATCAAATTTTTTATAATTTAAATTTTTTATATGTGATCTTAAAATAGCATATAATTTGACACATTCTAAATTCTACTTCATTTTTTTCTTAAATATGATAAATATAAAAATGTAATTTAATATTATATATTATAATGTTATAATATGTTATTATATTTTGTATCATGTTTTAACAAATATCTCCATATATATTATTGTCCAAAAAAACAAAAAACACTTTAATGATTAATTAATGCAAGAATAAATAAATTATATTCAAGATTATAGTATATGCATATATTATATACATTGAACATTGAACATTGATATATAACATGTTCATAAAATATTATTTTAGAAATGCGTGAAATGTAACTACATATGCACTAATTATATTCATATTTAATAAAAGTAAAACATATTTATATTATATATCTCAATAATTAAATTATCAAATTATTATATTTTTACCTACAGTCGATCAATATTTCACTTTATTTTCTAATAAATAATTAATCAAAATAATACTAGAAAAATTAAATAAATTAAATATAATTATGATTTTTATATTATGTAGATATAAAAAATTTAATGAATTAATTTATTAAATGTATATTATAAATTTTATATATATTTTTTAATATTAATTAAATAAATTTTTAAAAATACATTTTATATTCATAATTATATTCTGTGTTCGTAATTATATTATGTGTAATTGTTCATAATTGTATGCGTAATTTTATTAAATAATTTTATTAAACAGTTTTCGGTTTTAGTTCACTTTTAAAAATTATTAATTTTTTATCTATTTTTAATTCATTTATTTTATTTTATATTATCTATCTTTATTTTATCTATCGATAAATAAAATTCAAATTTACCAATTTTGAAAATTTATAATAACAAAAATTATAAATATTTTAATATAATTTTGATTTGATTTTTTTAAATATAAATATTTAATATAATTTTGAGATAGAATAATAAATTATAAAAATTTTAAACATTGTAAAAAAACATTGTAAATTCAATGTAAATTAAAATTAATTTCAACGTATAAGAATTTAATTAATAATTAATATCGTATTTAAAATATACACAAAAAATTAAAAGCTTGCATTAGCTATAATTTTATCAATGAATTAGTCATTTCTTGTCATAGATGAAGTATAAACATAAACGAGTTTATCAAAAATGGTTTCATTTTGAAATTTCATATCATATAGAATGATTTACCGACTGCACAAAAAATCAATGAGTTTAGTATGCCCTCTACAATTTAAAAGTGAATATAAGAATTATATTCAATCCAATAATCAAAATTGGTAATGAAAACAAAGATAAAATATAATTTCAAATATATTTACAGTTGTATCTATATAATCATCTATATATATATGTAATTCTATATATTATATTATATGAATTAAAAAATTTAACGAATTTTTACACCAAAAATAAGATTTGTATATTAATTTTATTAAATAATTTTATTATTTATTTATTAATTAAAAAATATTTGTACTCGTTTTTTTTGTTTTTTTGTTATAGTATTAATGAAAATATTATCAAATTTGTTTTACAAAAATTTATTTATTATAATTGTTTAATATAATTTTATTAAAATATTTTTAAATATATAATCGAAAATTATATATTTAAAATAATAATTATCTAATTATTCTTTTTAGAAGTTTATCTTCAAAATACTGATTTCAATGATTTTTTAATATATTGTAAAAATTAATATTTTGAATAATTTTTTTTCTGTACATATAATTATCGATCAATTTTAGTTTCCGAAATATTTGCAAAAAAAGATTGCTTTTTTATAGAATTTTGGCTATATGTATACACTCGTAGCAGTATACCTCACTATGTAATTGACATTTATCAATTATTTTATTAATTTATTTTATGCATATAAGTACATCGATGCATTGATAATATTGTTATTGCTCTGGCTATTGCTCTCTAGTTTATAAGAAATAATTGACACCAATCCTTTCAAATAAATAAATCAGCGATGATTATCACGAAAATAATAAGGAAAATAATATTCTAATTTTCTATATAATAATATACAATAATATAGCGTTCACTAATTATTAATATTTATATTATTTATAATTATTTATATTAATAAATTTATATAATCCAAAATAAAATGTTAGTTATATTTTATTTTTTTTTTTAATTTAATTTAGTTTTACTGTTTTAGTTTTTATTGCAGTAAAAATATTTATATCTTTAGATTTTTATGAAAGACTGATATAAATATATATATATATACAATAATATCTTTATTAATAATTAAATAATTGGTAAATCTGTAATTAACAGTCAGATGTTTTTAAAATTATTTTGTAATTAGTCAATTATGTAATTCTATCTCTTTTGATAACAAAAAACAACAAAAATATTTAAACATTAATTTAAAGAAAAATTAAATTCTTATAATTTTGATTTTTTTTATAAAAATATTTTTATCATATTTTTACGATTTTATTGATGAAAATATGACTAAATATAATATAATAATAATTTTTTTTTAAATAATAATAATATAATGATAATAATAATAATATTATGAATATATATAAATATCTCATCATTTTTATTTTTTCTGATTCCTTGTTATGTTTTTTTTATTTCTATCTTTTTATCATTTCTAAATTGTATTTAATTATAATTTTTTTTTTATGATCTAAAAAAAAGTCGACTAATTTCTAAAAAAATTTATAAATTAATATTCAAATTACCGATAACAATCGAAATTATAAAACTTGCTTCATTTTTATAATTGATAGAAATTAATTCTGAAGTATTAGTTATGCAAGCATCATTATATATATATTATATATATATAAATGTATATATATACATAATATACAAATATACATAATTATTCCTATTATATATATCTTAAATTTTAATAATATCAAAATTCATTTCTTCAAATAAAAATATATTTGGTTGTATATTTTATCAATAATTAGCTTTTTTTTATATTTTATATTTTCTAGTTTATTTGTAATCAATCTTTTTTTCAGAAAATTATAAGCAAATATATTGTGTATTATTTTCTTGGCTAGAACAGCATGTTCTTCTTTATACTTTACATATCATTCTTTGTTTTGAAAACTATGCTTGTTTGGAAAACAATTTGGAACACCTACTATATCTTGTTGTTGCCTTTAAATCTTCTTATTTATAAGTAATTGTACAGGAAAATTGTTGTTTGAGAATTTCTAATTTATTGATATACTTAGTAATGAAATTTACGATTTCTTTTTTGTTTGAATACTCAGATCGTGATATAATTCCTTTATGAAATTGGTATGATGCGTTTTAGTTTAAGTTTTAGACTGAAATTTTTGAAATATTTCTATGTTTGAATTGCAATAATTAATGTAACGTTACAAATTTCAAGGATTTAAAAAATACAACTTGTAATTTTTATAATTATTCACAATAGATAATTATTCCTATTAATTATTTCAATTAAAGATTTTTAGATTTAATCAATGATCCATCATAATCCACGAGAAACTAGCTTTTAACCGATTTATCCATTATACATTTGCCGCTACAACATGTTTATAGGACGAATAGATAAGTAGTATCATGCTCATTTTATAAGAATATATGTACATATGTTTTATAATAACAATGTATAGACAAAATTTTATAATAATGGCAATTTTTTATAAATATTTCGAAAAGGAAAGAAAATAACTTTTCTGCAATTTCATCCAAAGTTGATATCATAAAATTTATTCAATCAAAATTAAAAATAAAATTAAATAAATTAATCCACAAGATAAAACTTAATTATACATAACCACTTGATATATAATATTATATAAATTTCAATTATTTTAGATATTTGATTAAATATTAAATAAAAATATATTTAATAAAAATATTTTATTTAAATTCAATTTTTAGTTAATAAAATTAATTTTTTGTCTTAATAGATAACTATAAAGAATCCTTAAATTATTGTATGTAATAAGAAAAAATCATATTTTTTAAATTAATTATTATTTTCAAAAGTAAGAAATTATTTTTGCAATTATAATATATTAAATTTGAGATAAGTGTAAAAAAATTAAAAAAAATATTTTTTATGTAATATCATCGTTTCAGCCAACTGTTTTATAATAATTTCTAAATACAAGAATATACACATTTTAATACGAAATTTTATATTTTGCTTAAGTTTACAAGATAATTTATTTTAAATTTTATTTATAATTTCATATTAAAATGTAATTTTAATTCTAACTACTATGAATATTGCAGTTTTATTCTGCGTTGAATCGATAATATTGGGAGTGACATTAAAATGATAAAGCAGCTCTACAGTCTTCAAATCATAGGATAAAAATTATATATTATATTATAAGAGATCTTATAATTAGCTTGTAATTATGTCTATTTTATATCTCTGCATCTATATTATCATTATTATAAATCTTATTTATAATTGCTGACTCGTTGTATTATATGTATCAAACTTATGTGTATATTAATAATACTTATGTGTATATTAATAATAGACATTTTTAAAGATTTTATAATTCTTGATAGATACAAAACATAGGTAAAAAATTAATGATGCTCTAAAATGGACTTTAATTATAAATAGCTGTTTAAAAAACGTAATATTTACATTATGATCAACATATGGTAAATCAACTATATCGGTATAAACGAATATTAATTATATCAATTAGATAAAATATATAATGGATAATATAGAAATTTTCAATTATAATAATAAAATAAAAAATAAAATAAAAATAATAAAAATTAATAAAATTCTTAATTTAAATATTATAAAAGTTAATGTAAATATTATGTATATATTTATATTTTTTACTAAATAAAACATATATATTTACTTTCAAAGAAAAAATAATTAATACGATAAAGACTAATGTCAATAAATTACGTTAATTATAATAAAAATCAATCAATTCTTAATAAAATAATGTTAATATTCTATTAATACTGATTTGAAGTTAATATAAAATATTATTGTTATAAAAAGAAAAAAATAATATCATTTCCATTATAAAATATATATATTTATTTAAAAAATAAAAAGATGATCATAAAATATTCCTACTATAATGATAAAAATAATTCTATTTTATGGTAAAAATAACTTTATGTAAAAAAAATACAGGGTTTCTGTTGCAATGAATGACAAAAATAAAATTCAATGAATGTCTCCAAATCATACTGTATTATTCGCAATATACTCGCTCTATCTATGGTACAGAAAATGTTTAACACTAAAAATCGATAAATTATATATTTTTTTTATTTTTTTCTTCTTTTAGCGATCATTCCGAATCAATAAATTCAGTCAGACACACTCTCTCATTCTTTCTCTCTTTCTTGCTTTCTTTCATTCTCGAGATCACTCGTTCTTTTAATCGTTCCTCATGCCTGTGTATATGCATGTAGAACGATATGAATGTGCACACACATGTACACAATACACAAAAAATAGTGTACTCTATCATATGTATACACACACATATAAAATTGAATAACAAAATTTTTTCTTTGAAATCTCACGCGTTCATTATTAATTCATACGATATTAATTCTTTCGTTTTTTTCCTTTTTTTTATTTATACACATATACATGTTTATATACTTTTGCATGTATGCATACATATGTATACATGTACATATGTATCATGTATTACATAATAATATAATATACTATGTCGCATATAAAAAACAATTATTTATGATAGAATACAAGATTGTTTTACATTATATGTGTGTGTGTGTGTGTGTGTGTGTGTGTAATTATTTATTGATTTGATAGTTAATAATTGATTTATTTAATTTTTTAATTTTTTTCTTCAGTTTTTCAATTTAATTGAGTGTTCTTTTTGAATCTTCATCGTAATTGTTAATATTATATTATATTTTGTTATATCTTTCTTATTCCATTTTCTACTATTCTTTTTTTCTTTTTTATTATAAACTTCTAGAATCGTTCCCTCTTTTCATAGCCAAAGATCCTTCTTTCGTTATTAATAATTATTAAAATTTATTATCAATTTAAGTGAATATCCTTATGTATTTCTTTTGTTTCCCTTTTTGCAATGTTAAAACAAATTTTAATACAATTCTAATTTTAACGAAATAATTAATTTTGTTTCAAAAAATATAAATTAAATTAAGAAATGACAAATTAAGAAATTCTATGTAATTTTTATTATAAAATGTCATCTTTATTGAATTATGCTAATCGATTTAAGTATACAACCTATGCATTCGAGAGAACAACCATTTTAATTTAGATCTAAATTTTAACATTATGTTAAGTATAAAAATTTTCAACAATTTTTCGCAAACTTAAATTTAAAACTTATTGACTCTAAATTAAATTTTATTTTTATACAATTAAACAATTGTTTTGAAAATGCTATCAAATGCTGAAATATCATTTTTTTTTTTAATTAAAAATAATTTTTGTTAAAGTATTGAATTATTGATATTTTTTTATATTTTAATTAAATTAATTGTTAAAAAGAAATATATAAAACACCGCATATTTTACAACGTTTTATGTAATTATACAACTTTTATTAATTTTCACTGTATAACTGCCATAGTTTTCAATACTTACAATCATTCAGGATCATATATTTCTTCATTTCTATTTCTTTTTTTTTTATTGATTTTGCTCGACAGTTTAACATATTTTTCTTCATTATTTTTATTTTTCTTTTTTATAAAGTTATCTCTTGTAATCACATGGTACATATCACTAATACATAATTTTTTTCTTGCTCCTTTTCTTTTACTTATCCAATCGAACCTAAGACGAGTAAAATCGAAACGAAAATACTTAACGATCATTAATCGGTTATTACAATTCGGAACTATTAATAAATATTTATAAGGCAATTAAAAAAGAGAAAAAAATGAATAAAAAAAAGAAAAAGAAAATAATTTAAAGTTTTGGATTATTGCTTGTTCACGCATTAGTTTCTTTTTTGTTATGAAAATTAAACAAAAATAGAACGATCATTGAATCGGAAATGTGATTCTCATAGCATTTCTAATCTTAATTATGATAATGAAAAGATAATCAAAGAATATTCTTTTTTTATTTGTATATTATTTTTTATGTATGACTTTTATGTTTTCTTTCTTCTTTTCTCCTTTTTTTTTACATATTTTTTATTTTCATTAAAAGCTAACTTGATACAAAAATCGACTCGTTGATGATACGATAAAAAGGTTATCAGGATAATCGATGAAGAATTAATTAATCGTACTTATGTTGACGAAGCTCTTTTCTCGTTAAACTTTTTTGATAAAAAAGGAATGCTAATCTGTCGTCAACAGTTATGCAAAAGAAGATACAATATTAAAAATTTCGTAAAAAAAAAGTCAATTATTAATAAAAATAATAGAATGAACAATAGGGCAATGTATTGAGGATAAAATTCATTTAGAAATACAATATTTGTGAATATTAAATGGAATTAAAATTTTTTAATTAATATTTCAATCAAATATTTATAAGTGATGTAATTAATATAATAAAGATTTAGTCTAAAATTTCAGAAAATCAAATTTAATTGAATAATACAGGAGCAACAAATATGATATCAAACGACAAAAAACTGAAATAAATGTCAAAATAAAGAAAATCAAATGAATGAGGTTAGAAACCCACCTGGAGATTCTCATTGTCTAATGGTCATAAATTAGGCGAAAATATAAAAGCACATCCCATTGCAAAAAACAATTCGGAAACTTGATGGCGATCAATTATGAGAACGAAGGAAAAATATCAAAATGATGATGAATGGCTAAAAAGGGCTAAAAAGAAAAAACGAGAAAAGGGTCGTCTTGGCAGGTGTAGATATCTTCCTCAAATTTATTCGCATTCTCATCACTAAATTTCCTTTGTCTTCAATTATCAATGCCTTCAGAATCACCTTATAGTCAAAAAAATTTCACTTCCAACTTCAAAAATGTATTTATATTATTCTTAAGTTTCTTAACTATCAATGCCATCTAATTCTTTGACTCTTTTTATTATTTACCATTCTTTTCCTATCGTCATTCATGATCTTTAAGATCGATTTTTCTATACTTCAATTCATTATATATCAGTTTTCATATTTTGGCTCTAGAAAACTGAAATTACGTCTATACAATGATCCTTGAATAATCATTGAAGTTAACAATCATACTTATTTTCATTCTCTTTGCTGTAACATCGAGTACTTTTGGTAGGTCTTGTATATGTGTATTATATTATACTCTTGTATATCAATGTAAGAGCTAGAGAGCCAATTGCTAAACTCTAGCTGAAGAGGCACGCGATGTCGCGAAGTTGTTGCTGCAAAAATATAATCTGCTCCACGTTCCGTCTCCACATCCTAAAACAAAAAATAATAATAATATAAATACACGTAATAATAATAATAATAATAATAATAATAATAATATAAATATAATAATATATATAAATATAAATATAAATATAAATATTTCTGATATGATTTAAAATTACATTCAATTTTTTATAAATATAAATTATATATATAATTTATAAATATAATATAATTATTGGATATAAATTTTTTATTAACATATAATTATAAGAAATTAAATGTTTTTAATATAAATCATATAATTTCCATTATAAAAAATAAAAATATTTGATATTATCAGAACAATTCCAGCTAAATGTCAAAATTTATTTTTTATTATTTCATATCATCAATATCAAATGAAATTTTAGAATTTTAATTGATATATTATTTTAATTATAATTAAAAATCAATAAACAAATATTAAAAACTAATTTTAATATATACTACTAATATATACTACTTATATCAACAAGAGTTGAGTTAATTTATTAAAGAATTAATTTGAAGACTTGTAAAATATGATTCAGATTTTTGAATAATTTAATTATTTTATTTAAATTTTTTAATTTGATACAAATTAAATGTGAAATAAATCATTTTTAAAATTTAAGAAAACAAAATGAATTAAAATTAGATTATTATATTCTATGTTGAATAAAAATATTTTTTTATAATATCATAAAAAATATTAAAATAAATTTAATTAAAATTAAATAAACTACATTGTTTAAATTTATGAATTGAAAAATAGAAAAAAAAATTACAGATTACAGAAATTTATTATGTTTTAGTATATTTTGAAATATAAATTATTTTACATAATTTATATTTTCTTGTTATGCATAATAAATTTAGTTAAAAATTAAATAAATAATTTTTTCTAAATTAAAAATTAACTATGTATTCAAGTAATGATGATATTGAAAAATAAACAGAAATTAAAATTGATTAATTTATCTTTTGAGAAATCTATTAATGATTAAAATCCGATTTTTTTGCTTTAGAATATTAAATTTTACTTGTAATTTATTTATCATAGAAATATATAATATTACAATTTATATTTGCAATCATATTTTTATCTTTTTTTAAAATTTAAGAAATTAAATATGAGTGATTAATCAATAGTAGTTTAATCATAGTAGTTTTTTAATAAATAAATAGTTTATAAACATGTATAAACAAAAAATATAAAAAAAATAATGATTTTTGTAATGAATTTTGCATTCATATATTAATATATTAATAATTATTCGTGAGACATCTCTAAAAAGTTTAGGACCAAAACAAATATAAACAATTCCAAATGTTATTATTAAATATCAGTTAAGAATTTTATTTATTATATAAAATAATATAAATAAATATGTAAAATTTATAATATTATACAATTACACACGACGCGATTTGATAAAGAAGAAGATAGAAATAAATCTATCTACATTTTGATTGATAACAAGAACTTAAATTGTTTGTAATTTAATAAATAAATCTTAATTGACATTTTTATTATTAATCTTTATATAATTTTTTATTTTAGCTTTTAGAATCGATCCTTTAAAATATGTCACGAATATGTTTAATTTGAAAAAATTAATATTATTCATTTAAATACTATATCATAATTAATTTTCAAATGAATGATAAAATAATAACTTTCAATTTTCAAAAAAATATAGTAAATTTCGATATTGAAAAAAGATAATGTAAACATAAATCCAAAAACTTTTTAAAACATGAATATATCGAATAATATAGAAACTTTCTTAAAATTTATTTAATCAAATTGTTAAAATCATTATAAATGATTTCCATTTATAATAATATAATCTTTTTATCACTAAAATTGTTGAAAAAATTCCGAATTTTCTTACATGTAATACGATTTTTTTAATGTCATCAAATAATTTCAATCAGATCAACTGTTATTAAAAAGCTAAATTTTTTAGATATTTTATCATCTTTAATCTCTATTAAATGTAGGAAGTTGATTTAACTATTAAACATTTAGAAAAATTAAATATAGAAACTTATTTACTACAATATAAGATATCAATATTAAAATAATTTGTTTTTTAGCTATTAATTTATTATATTATATATAAAAAAATATTACATATAAATATATATACATATATAAATATTATCTTTAATATTAATATAAAAAACATTAATAAAAAAACAATTTTATGAAATTTTATGGAAAATATCTATAAAAAAACTATGATTAATATAAATATTGACAATAAAACATCATTATTACATTAATGTTTAATAGTTTAATGTACTTCAATAATTTCAATATACTTAGATACAATGAAAATTTTTGAAAATTTCATTCATATAAATATTTATTTATATTCATATTATAATTTAAAACAAAAATAAAACAAAAAATCGCATTTTTTAAAAAAATATTTATATTAATTAAGTAAAAATTATTATTATTTTATTTTAATATGTGATATAATCTGATTTATTTATTAATAAATTATATTATTATATATTATATTATTGTATATAATTATAATAATTATAATAAAATATTATTATATATTTTATTATATTATATTATACGTAAAAAAATCTATTCTAGAGATCATTAAGTTTCATAAATTCATATTTATTTATTAAAATTTTGTTAGAAAAAATTTTATTTTATTAAAATTAAATTTATTAGTATCTAATTATATTTTTTTATTTTAATATTTAAATATAAATATTTATAAAAAAATTATATATAAAATTATAATATTTATAAAAAAATATTTTTAAAAAAATTATTATGTGTTATTTACGATAACATATTTAAGTAATATTTAAGTAAATAAAGTATTTCTGTTGTTATATTTTTCTTTTCGTTTTTTTTTTTTTTACATAAAATTTAAAAAAATATAATTTTAATTTCTAATATATAGATATATAATAATTTCATTTTATAACAAAAAAATTATTTTATTTTCATTGATATGTACAAAGTATAACACAATAAAAAAGCAAAATCAAAATCTTAAAATTTACTATCTTTAATCCAAACAATAATTAATTTAAATAATTTGAATATTTTAACGAACTGATAATTCATAAAAAAAATTGTGGAAATGTTTCTATTCAAATTTAGTTTCTCTCTAATCGTTTAGAAAAATTAGATGTAAATAAATGTAATAATTAATATCAAATTAAAAAACTAATAAAATTTAAAACTTAATCGTTAAAATATATTTTAAACTGTCTTTTTTATAATGAGTAAAAATTATTGTATAAATTACTAAAAATATTGTAAAAATTATTAATGTATAAATTACTAAAAATAAAAAATTATATAATATAATAAATTGTAAATAAAATTTTGAAAAAATCATTCACATTTTCTTATAATCAATTAACATATTATATAAATAAAATATTAGAAAAAAACTAGAAATATATAATTTTGAAAATATACACAAACATAATATTTCAAAATTCATTCTTTAATGTTGAATATTGCAATAATTTTATTTTATTTTATTTTATTACGAATTTTATTTTATTACGAATTAAAAATTTTTCACATTCAGAATTTATTAACTGATACAATTCTTTCAAGAGAAAAAAATTTCATAATGTATTTAATTACAAAATTATATTTATATTATATTTACATTGTATTGCATTATTATCGCAGGTATAGAGATAAAACTCTAATTCATGTAAAAAAATTTCATATTTATATTTTTTAATTTCTAATTGCAGCACCACTTATGAATATAGAAAATTAAAAAAAAAATGCAGTTTTGACTTTTTTAACATATAAAAATATAAAATAATATTACATTAAGGTATTAAAAGATTTAATAAGACAATATTGTATTTTAAAACCTCATATAATTTTAGAAAAATATATATAAAATCAAATATATGTAACAATTATATTAGAAAAATTAAGAATTAGATTACATAATTAGTCATACACTCTATTAAAGAGTCATGCATTCTTTCATTCTCATTACAAGATGGATGTAAATGATTATAAATTATATAGAATCATTATCTATATCGGAAATAAAAAATATACAAATATGCAAAAAATCTTCCCATTAAGAATTTAGGGATAATTGATACATCAAAAATATTAATTATTTAGCAATTTTCACAAATCATTACATATGATAAAATTACATGATTTATAATTATAATCAGCCTCTTTTCATATAATAATAACAATATCAATTATAACAATTTAAACATAAATTTATTATTGTCATTCAAAAATTTCATTACAAAACTTCAAGAAACAAAACATAGTAGACTATCATTCGAATCAATTTAATCAGCAAGAAATAATATCAATATTTCAATATTTTAGTTTAGGATTATACGATCATTGAAAAACATAATTTCCATTTTTTAACATTTGCATTATTTTGTAAGGCATTGAAGCTGTTACATGAATTTATTATCATTTATTTATTTTTTTTATTTTACAACATAACATTTAGCATATTTTACAACATGCTATGATATATTAAAAGATGAATATAACGTTCGTTTTTTTCTTTTTTCTTTTAATGTTCGTATGAAAACTGTGCCTTAATTACAAAAGAAAATTATAATAAAACAAACAAGATATCATATTCAATAAAATGTTAAATGTTAATATGTTAAATAAAAATTATTTGCAAAAATCATCACAGAAAATAGAGAATCAATTCAATTAGAAAACATAATAGAATAAGAATGAAAATAAAATAAAATAAGATAAAAACAATGAAAACAACTGATTTTTGAAATGATCAAAATCAGATCAATGATTGAAAATCAAAATGCTTTATTCAATTTACTGAAAAGAAATATTTTATTATGAACAAAAATAAAATAAATAAAATTAAATATTTGTTTGAGCCATAATATATGATCTTATTACAAAGAAATTGATTTTATTATTTTAAAAATGACATAGGACTTTTGTTTCTTTTTCTCTTTTTCTTCAGTGATATAGAACTATAAGACTACAAACCGCGGTTGTTATAGGGCAATTTCTATAACATATGGTAATGCGCGTATCAACTATCCCCAGCTTCTCCTAATCGATGCGTAATGTACGCATAAGAGAATTACTAACCAAACTCGAGCCGGCAGAAGAAGCAGACGTGGCAGCAGAGGTAGGCATCGTCAATATTGAATGATATTGTCTACGACCGCGAAACCGCATGCCCCAAGACCAGCATGAGACATCAATCGTACCAGTTCTCTTGCATGAGACGCGGCCACTTCCAAAGGTGGTCGTCGAGGTAAATTACTCGATTCTAAAAGTATATGATTTTCCATATTATAAAATATAGAGTGTTTTCAATTATAAAATTATATTATTTATTTAAAAAGTAATACAAAGTAATAAAAATAATATATATTTTTTTCTTAAAAATAATATGGATGTAAATAAATATGGATGTTCAACTATTGATGAAAGATTTTTTGTAAGAATTTTGTATTTTCAAAAATTACTATTACTAATATATTATATTATATAATATACTATTACTATTATTATAAAATTCATTATATATTTTAAAAATAAATAATTATATTTAAATATAAGTATATATATTAGCATTCTTTAAAATGTTAATAAATATATATTTTTAGTAATAAAGATTTATAGTTATATAAATTACAAAACACAAACAAGATAGACCATTTGAAAAAATATCTTCTTTTATTTTGGATACTATTAAAGTATTTTTAAAAATAAAAATTAAATAATTCGAAACAATATATATATTTGTTTCTTTCTTAATTATAGTATTTCAATAATTTGTTATCTATGAAAAATATTAACATATTTTTAACAAAAAAATTATTAGTTTAATTGAAATTTTTTAAAATTTATTATATGAAAGACATATTATAAGAAAATATGAACAAATGAGTACTAATATTATTTACATATTATTTGTATTGCAAGATTATAATTCTTTTTGCAACATTACAATTTTTCGTCAAAATATTTTTTAATATTTAACAGTAAATTAAATGTAATGGCAAAATTATTTCAATGAATTGCTCGTGAAAAATTATCATTCTTCATTTTTAAAAAATTATATAATTTCAAAAAGAAAACAAAATTGATTATATATTTAATTATGTATTTATATTAAATATTATTTATATTAATTATTATTTATATTAAATAAGATATTTTTTTTACAATTTTTCTAGTCTTGTAAAATAAAAGCGAATAAAAGATAATCAAACAAAAAAATAAATCATAATAAAATAATATATTAATAAAAATAGAATTATGATATAATCTAATAAAATAGTTAAATTATCACTATAAAATGCTTATATTCATATAGATTATAAAACATATAGAAAAATAATTTAATAAAATAATTAATATAAATTATATAAATAATATATAAATTATATAATATTTGAATATAAATTACAAATTATAGATAAAATATAATACAATATAATCAAATTAAAAAAATTGATAGTAAATTAATAGAAATTGATTATTATTAATAAAAATTTAAAATTGTGAATAATCAAATAATTTTTTAGAGTTTAAAAAAAACTGAAAAATTAGAAATAAAATAATCAAATAATTTCCATATATGATTAAAATAATAGAAATTAATAGAAATTATTAATAGAAATTAATAATAGAAACTAAAAATTACAAAAATGTTAAATCAAAGAGATTAGAAAATAATAGATAAAATATAAATAGTAATGAGATATTCAAAGAAGAATGATTGAATAATTCAATAAAATAACTTCATTTATAAATAAAATAAATAATTATTAAGATCTAAGTAAGAAATCATTTCATCACAAAAGATTTATTATAATTTGAACTAGAAAATTATTAAAAAATTAATTAAAATAAAAATATGAATTAATATTGAATTAAATTAATATAAAAATTTTAGAATTGTTTATTTACATATAATTTTATTTTTATATTCAAATACATATTACAAATTATTAAATAATTGCTATCTTATAAAATTTCAATATGTTATATTGCTATCTTAAATAAAAGATAAAAAAATAAATAAATCATTTGATATTTTTTTTTAAATTTAATTAGTAATTATATTTTTGATTAAATATTTTTAATTATGTTTCTTTAAAATTTCATTTTAAAAATTATAATATATTAATAAAATGTAAATGATTTTTAAAAAAATGATTTTATCATAAAAACAATAATTAAATAAATATAAGCAATAATTTTGCAAATAATTTCATAATTTATTTTATTCTATAATGTTACCTTGCCCTTCTATGTTACATATAAAATATGCAAATAAATACAATATAATCAATAAATTACAATGATTCGCTTACCGAGTATGGCAGAATTAAGTCTTGCACAAACAGTTTCCCTTTGTTGAGGATCAAGTTGCCAACCAACTGGTGAATTCCATGGATTTGCATAAGCTAGAAGACTGAATGCATCTTGAAGCATCTTTTTATTGCTTTCATTTTTTCCGTGTTGTTGTCGCAAATGTATCGATTGAGAATATAATTGTCTTCCAAATTCCAACATTTTTTCAATTGCCTGTTTATCACCGCCACAAAGTTGTTTTTTGTTATTCTTATTCGATATATTCTCCATATTACAATTACCATTTTGTTGTTGAATTTGACTAACATTGTTGGTTTCTGGTGACATATCAAAATTTATTTTAGAAATCATTTTAAAATTATATTTTAAATAATATTTAACAAATATAACAAAAATTGTTATTTAAAGTTATTTATTTCTGCTTAAATATTTCACAAATAATTGAATATTTATATCATCATTTATATTAAATATTTATTTATATTAAATATAAAATAATATTTTAGATATATATATTCTTAAGAATTCTTATAATTTTCAAAATAGAAAAATAAATAAAATATTATAGAGATTTTCTTGATTTATTAATAAAGTAAATGAAAACATTGATTAAATTTAAATGTCTTATATATTTAGAATAATATCTTTTAAACACTGCGTTTGAATAACAAATGGATTATTTAAAGGAATTATTTTGTGAAGTTTCAGATTATAGAGTTTTTAATCTATCTCAACTTTTCGAAAAATTTATCACTTCTTAGTTTCTTCTAACAATTTAATAAACGCGATTAATAAAAATAACTCAATAATATCTCACCCATGTCGACATCTTCTCCATTTTGACATTTGTATCCATTGGTATTCAAATCGTTATTTTGATAACCATTTTCAGTATTACTTTTCATACCATTTATGACATTTTCTTCCATATCTACATCATTTTCAATTTGTCCATTAACTAATTGTTGTTCAGTAGAACCATTCATAGCGTTGTTCATATTCATTTCCTCGATGTTGCTATTCATTGAGGATTTCGTATAAGCCTTCGTAGACTGTATAACACTAGTTTGATTAATATTGGAATTTTGAGTAATTTCGGAGTCACTACCATTCACCATTTCAACAAATTGTCGACATTTAAGAGCAAAAAGAAGATTTGGATCTCGTTCGAGGAGACCTGGATACAATCGACTGGTTAATTCTATTGCTTCCCCCATTCTGCCTGCCAATACCAATTTCAAAATTTCTGAAATAAAAAATGTTATATATATTACATATAATATTTTATATATGTAATTAATAATAAAGAAAAATATATAATATATACAATTATCAATATATATATATATATATATATATATATATTTGATAATTTTTAATAAAATAAAATTCTTTGTATCATTTTGTATTATAAAATTTTAGTATAATTAGTTTTTAAAATGTATTAAATATATCTATTTTATTTATTATATCACAATGAATCTATTATATCAAATAGTTTTAATAAAAAATATTCAAAATTATTAGTTCAATGCAATTATTTTTTTAATTAAATTAATAAAAAATATTGAAAATGATTATTATGTACTTACTTTGTCTATTTTTAATGGAATTAAGATCTTCTTCAAATCCTTGACCAGTACTATTGGCAAATGCCTCGGCAGTAGCACAATAACCGTGATGGACTAAATATGTTGACACCATTCTGAAGAAAATAATAAAAAATTTCTAAAATTTATTATATAAGAAACAATAAAAATTTTTCAAATAAAAAATTATTTTTTTTATTTTTTTTGTTGTATGTATTTGAAATAATATAGATTTTTATTTAAATTATTTTCTTTTTTAAAAAAACTGATTATAAAATTCAATTGAAAACATAAATAATTTATTAAAGCATCTTTCATCCAATACATACAATAAAAAAGAATTTAACAAAATTGAATTAGCTAAATGATTTATTTAAACAAGAATAAATAAAATTTATTCTAATAGAATTTCTTATAGAATATTGGATCTTTCATAATATTATTGGAATTGAATATTGGATATCTTTCTAATAGAATATTGGATTTACAAAAATGAATTGCTCAAACAATAACAGTATTAAAATATGAAAATCCATATATTAAAATTTAGAAATCGTATTACAATGTTGATATTGATTTATTATATTGAATTATTATGAACCAATACATATATAAAGATATTTATATTTATTTATAATAATAAATTTTATATGTAAATAAAAATATATTAGTTAATAGAGTTTTTATAATAAAAAAATATAATAAATTTTATCTAAATAAAAATATGCTAATTAATAGTTGAGAAGAATGTAATATTTCATCACGATTATTGTGTACATAATGATTTAATTCAAAGATTTTCTGTTACAGTTGAAAATCTTAAAGAAGATTTAAATATACATACGTAAAAATATAGTTCAAATCATTTTAATAATTCAATTACTTTGGGAATCATTTGTGTAATTTATATAATGTTAAACAATTACAAATTTATTAAAATTTGACAACAATAAGAATAAATATATTTATATTATTCTGTAAATTTAGAATATTTTCCTAAATAATGCTATTTTAAAAGTAAAGTGATTATAGTAGATATATTAATAATATACCAAATCTTAAATTATATTAGAATTATATTATTTATTCGAAATATAGTAAATAAGTATAAGTCAGATAATTCTTTTTGTTACAAATAAATAAAGAAATATACATAATATAATGTTAAAACATTTTTTATTTTATCTTTAACTATAATAAATGCATTTATATATTTATTTTTCATTTCTGAGAAATACATTACAATTTGTGAAAAACTTTAAAAAATTATGATTTACTTAAAAGAAGTTTCTTTCAATTCAGATTATTAATTAATTTTAATAATTATTAAAAAAAATTATAAAATTTTGAAAATATATAGAATATATTTAGGTTTAATATACAAAGTGTCTTAAAATATTGAACAAATGTTTGGGACATATAGAATATATATATTATCACTAGATTTACTGAATCCGTCAATTTGATGGATTTTCGATTTTATGCTTAAAAATTCTGAACATGCAAATATTATTCTTTACATATTGGTTTTTAATGATATAATGCAGTAAATGTATATTTCTACTCATTTTCTCTGGAATTTATATTTTATTATTTTTAGATATTGTATATCTATATTTACAAAAATCCCTCAATTTGACGAGTTAATTTATATAGATCAATTATTGCGAAATAACAAAAATGAAATAACAATGAATACCAAGCAAATAATGATTGTTTAACAATAAATATATGATCAAAATTATTTACAATTGTGATGATAACAAATAATCCCTTTAACGATGAATTTTGCAGAGAAAAGATTTTTATAAATAAATCTGTTTTATTATTTTATAAAACAAATAGATCCACATGAGAGATAATTTCAACAGTGCGTTTTGAAAAAAATAAGTGCTATTTGGAAGCTTAGCAAAAATTTATTTTTATAATTGAAGATTTAAATTTTTCAAAGTATTTTCAAAACCTACCCAAAAAAAAATATTTTTTACATTATATTTATATTTTACCTATTTAACTAATAATATCTATGGTTTAATAATATCTATTATGGGCAAGTCTTCAAAAGATATTGCATTAATAAAAAAGAATAATAAAAAGAATAAAAAGAATAACCAGCATAAATGAAGATTTGGATCGGATTCTGATATTCGGAACGAATTATACGAAAGCGTGGAAGAATTTAACAATATCAACGAAATTGAAGAATTCTGACGACAGGAAGAATGAAAATTATCGCAATACATATCGTAAAAAAAAAAAGAATGTGTATTATTTCAGATATTAAAAGCGAAAGTGAAATAAAGGATGCTGATAATGAAGAAAATATTGTGAAAGCAGGATCTCGTAGATGGCTCCTTCACATATTTTATAATTGTTTTTATTGTTATTATTTTATTGTTATTATTATTTATTGTTTTTATTGTTATATTTTATTGTTATTATTATTTATATTATTATTATTTATATTATTATTTGGCAACCATCAATGCCTAGATATTGTACAAAGAGATCACTGGAATAAACATATTTCGAAAGAATTTTCTCTTTCAATTAGACTCATGGGCAATGACCATCACGACAAACAAAATACCAGCTTCAATTCATTGTCTGGGATTTAACTATATTTGCATTAAATCTAACAAGTATATATGCGGAAAGTGTACATCCAAGATAAAGTTTACATGTAAAAAATATATTAAAGTAAATAAAAATCTATAGATTTAAAATAAATAATTTACAAAAAAAATTGCAATTTAATATACCCGTCAAAAAAATGGATTTCAATAAAAAGAAGGTGTATAGTCAATGTTCATAAATCTAGTGTTTATCTAGTTATTAAATATATAATAATATATAATATTTTATATATATATATATAGAATCTCTTTGAAAGATCGATTTTAAAAATCAAAACAAAGAAAATTTAATATACAAAAGTATTAATTGAAACTTATTTATTAAAATATAAACAATTTAAATTTGTGTTAGATAAAACAAGGCGATAAAACAAGATAATGCGATAATATAACAAAGATAGATCTTAATTATAGATTTTAATAGATTTTAATAGATTTTAATCATTTAACATAAATTTGAATTATAAACTTAATAAATAAACTTAATAAATAAACTAAAATAAATAACTTAATAAATAAATCTGAATTGACATTTTTGTTTATAATACATATTAATTTTTATATTTATTTTGATTCTCTGAAAATATTCCATGAATATGTTAACATTATAATATTAACATTATATAATTATCTGAACATCTTCCACTTATGCCAAATAAATGAAACATAAAATATATATAAAATAAATAATATATATATATATATATTTTATATATATATAAATATATATAAAATATATATAAAAAAAATAAATATAAAATAAATTCTGCAACATTATCATATCAGACATATTTGTTTGTATATATTAGAGTAGTTTTCATTGTATTTTATTTTGAAATAACTTAAATACTTTGAAATAATTTAAATAAATATAACTCATGACACTTATTCTATCATTTGAAATTTTTTCAAGAGGCTTATATATTATACAATCGAAAATTTGAATATCCATAGAAGTTACAGAATAGATTTTATGTTTTTTGAAACTCATTATATATGAACTACTTCATATGTAAGTATATATTTGTTATTGAATGAAATTTTTCTAATCAAAAATAATAGGCATGATATAATTCATAATTAGCTATAGTTAAGAAACTTTTCTACAACAAGTAATCAAAATTTAATAGTATTAATTTTAATACTATTAGTATTAAATTTAATAATAATATTTTGATAATATTTGTAATAATTTGATTACAATACTACACAATATACTCGACTTATAATATTACAATTATAAAAAATTTCCATCGTATAAAAATATATGCAATTTAATAATTGTGTCGTACATTTAAATTGACTTTACTATAACTTTCTTATTACTTTTTTTATGATTTTGCAATTATTAAACTATAATTAGTATTTTCTTATATAGTTCTATTATTTAGAAATTTTATATCTACTTTATTTTCTGCTAGTTTAATTGATGAACAAGTCCATGAGAAATTTCCATGAGAAATATTCAGTTAGCAATCATCTGATTTTCATGAATTATAATTTATAAATAATTAATATAATTTACAATACAAATATACATGCTAAATGTTTTAATTTTTATTTTATTTTTATTTATTTATATTCTATCTTTTCATAATTGGTGAAATTTGTCAAATAAGCAATTTGTGAATGAAGTTTAATTAATTAGAAAAAAATTAAAAATAATACAATTATATAAAATAATTATAAGCAAAAATTTTTCTTATTATTAAAATTCTTTTATGTAAAGTCAATTTTTTATTTATGTAATAATAATAATTATTTATGTAATAAATAATAATTATTTATGTAAATAATATAAAATAATCGGCGTAATGTTTAAATAGTTATGAAACAGTATAATATTTTCTTTAATATTAACTTATATTTTAATTTAATATTAAAAAAATTCAATATTAAGTCATCTCATAAATTCAGCTCTTTTCTATTATAATATATTTTAAAGAAAAATTTGAAAGAAAAATTAATAATATTTGTACATATTATGCAAAAATATAATTATTTTTTATATAATATATATATATATATATATATATATATATATATATAATATAATAATAAATAAATAATAATAATAATTTGTAATAAATTTCTCTATCACTTTTACATAATTTTTGTCATAATATTATATTATGAAAAAAATATTCTGATTTTCTTTTTCTTTTGCAAGGCTAGAATATTTTATTGCCATTTTTAATTTATCTAATTGGATACATTATATTCATTATATTCAAAATATATTCAAAATAATTAACAACATTCAATTAACAACAAAATTAATAATTTACTGAAAATATTCAAAATATAAAATTGTATAAACAAAATCACAAAACAAATTTATGAACAAATGAAAAAGAAATGTTAACTAGATTATTCATTTCAATAAATAATAATAATAATCTAATAATAATAATTTATAAAATTATATTTTTATATATAATTATATTATATATTTATATTATTATAATAATATTATATTATAATAATTATATTTAATACTTTATTTTTATAATTTATAAAATTACAATTTATAAATTATATTTTAATATGCTTTTTTTTATAAAGTATATTAAAAACATTATTAACAATCTAATATTATATTTTATCATGCAGCGAATGTAAAAATTTATCATGTAATAAAATGAAAAAATTTTTCAATTGTTGAGAAATAGTTAAATTAGATTATATTCGAATACTTAATATTTAATTTACTTAATAAAAGAAATATTTAAAAGATATTATTTGTGTTAAAAAATAAATAACACTGTATCAAAACTATTCAAACCAAAGATTTTCCTTAAAGAACATATTTTAAAAAAAATTATTATTCGCTTATAATTATAATTTATATAATTTATAAATCTAATTAATTCTAAAATAATTTTATTATTTGATAAATCTAATTAAAATAAATAATATTTGCTTTAAAATTTTTTTATCTTTTATATTTTGCAAATAAAATAAAATATTTTTTTAAGGCTTTTTTAAGAATTTGTAAAGCTTATTTTTAATCCATTATTATAAATTAATCCATTATTATAAATTTAAACAAAAAAATATATTTTGTATTAAATAATTACATATACTACACATATTCTCAAAATTTCATAATTTTTTGAATTACTGAATTGAAGAACTTAATATGTCACTGAATGATCTTTCCATATTTCTTATAGAATAATTTTTGTGAAACACAAAAGTAACACTATTTTGAATATATAATGAATTGAGAAATATATAAATATTTTGAAAACCATTATAACATAACATGAAAAAATATATAATTAATTAATTAATTAAGGAAGACACATTTAATCGTGACGATATATTTAATAAATTTAAAAAACAATGTAAAAATTATCATAGTTTAAACTAAATATTTTTTACTAATATATTAAATATTCTTATAACTAACATCAAATCGTTTTTTAACTAATATTCATATGTATATTTTGCATAAATTAATAAAAAAAAATTCTATAAGTTATTAATATTAGCATTCGATGTACACATATTATTGTTTTATGTAAAAAATTTTCTGCGTAGTTTATTCTTTATATATTTAATGTACTGATATTATAATGTTACAATTTTAACTTTTATATATTAGGATGTCCCATAAGTTTTTTTCTTTTTTTTGATACGAAATAAATACATGGTATTTGTTGTTTAAGGTTAATTAGAGGCGTTATATATGAACCGTTCTACTTTATCATCTTCCATCTCTCAGGAAGCTTCATTATTCTCTTTTTCCAAAATTGTTGCGCTTTATTTGCAAAATATTTCTCGAAGTGCGTTTTTATTTCGCTTACAGATTTTTTTAAGGCTTTTTTAAGAATTTGTAAAGCTTATTTTTAATCCATTATTATAAATTTAAACAGAAAAATATATTTTGTATTAAATAATTACATATACTACACATATTCTCAAAATTTCATAATTTTTTGAATTACTGAATTGAAGAACCATTTATCATGGAGATAATTTTTTAATAACAGGAACAAGTAATAGTCGGATAGAGCAAGATCTGGGGAGTAGATGCGATCCCAGTAGAGCATCCCAATTAAATTGTAACAGCTTTTCTGTTACAATCAATGCAACATGTGGTTTTGCATTGTCGTGATGGCCTCATTGGTTCACCAATTTTGATCGTTTTTCTGCTATAGTATGTTTCAATTTATCAAGCTGATTGCAATATTTTCCAAAATTGGTTTAGAAATGGTTTCACTTTGAGAAAGGAGTTTATAGTAGACTACATCTTTCCAATCTCACCAAATGGATAAAAAAATTTTCTTCGGGTAAAGTCTAGGTTTCGCGACAATTGAATTCTTCTATTGTCCTTAAATCAAGTGCATTTTCGATGCATATTTTGATATTTGAAAATTCAAGTTTCACCTCCAATGACAAGCCTCTTTAAAAAAGAATTTCTTTCATGTCGCTAGAGAAGGAAATCGTACATAGAGACACGGTTCATAAAGTCGATCTCTGTCTCTCAATAGTTGTGGAATCCAAACTTTACATCGCTTGATATATTTCATCTTGATCAAGTGATTATTTACCTGGAAATGTTAGTGGCATCCACTATCTCTTGCATATTATATCGCGAATTTTCAACGAGCATGGTCCGTATTGATAAAGTCCATATTCGTCGTTGCTGAGCGGCTGCTGCGACCTTCATCTTTCAAATCAAAATTGCCAGTTCTAAATCTCTTAAACCAATTGCGGATGGTCGTAATAGTTTTTGTAGCATCACTCCCGTAAATAGTATAAATCTTGTCTGCAATACTATCACCTTGCATTTATACTATCACCTTTTTTAGAGTAATAAAGCATAACATGCTGCAAATGCTTCTTTTGACTATTCATATTGAACGGTATAGAAAAAAGTTTTAAAAGAGATTGTCACCAACGAAACGTACTTTAAAAGCTCTGGAATGACTGGAATTGATGCCATAAATAGCTAATAATATAGATAATCCTGCATATTCAAAAATAACAGTTAAGGTCATTCCTAACATGGTGCAAAAGAAATTTATGGGACACTCTAATACTATTTCAGTTTCCTAAATTTCAACATAGAATCAATATAGGAAATAATTTAGACTTAATATCAATTATTTATTAAAAAATGATTTTCAATACAGTAAATAATAGAATTAGTTTTATTATCTAACTTATTGTGTAAAATGTGAAAAATTGCATGACATCCAAAAAATTATATGTTATCCAATTAAATCAAAACTACCATTCATTAAAAAAAACAGATGAATACATAGAATAAATTACGCAGAAAAATCATATAAACAATAATATCATGCAATATACAACGAACACTAATGTAAATAGCTCATCAAATTTAGCTCAATATCTTAGATTTTAATATTGGTTTGCGCAAAATATATAAATAAATAATATTTTGAAAATAATTTGAGCTACAAAAATATTTAATGAAAAATATAGATTCTTAAAAATAAAAATAATAGAAAAAATAAAAAATAAAAATTTTTATTTAAAAAATGAAATGTTAAAAATTAAATCTTTATAAGATTTTACAAATTTAACGCGAAGTTAAACATATCATTACGGTATCTCAAATCATACTTAATACAATACATATACAATCATACTCAATCAAAATTTATCTAAAATATTTTTTTGTATCAAGCATAATTTATGAAATATTTAAACATTTTCATATGAAATGAACACACAATAACAAAATTCAAATATCAATTTCAATCATTAAAAATTCAAATATCAAATTCTTTTAGGAGCTTAACTCAAGAAATATATTTTTTATACTGAAAATTATTTGCTTATAGACTATTAAACTATGAAACAGAAATGTATTGATAAAAAAAAGTAATATCTTTAAAAAAAGCTTCTTAATTTCTTTCATAAACAAATTTCTAAAAATAAAAAAGAAGAGAAAAGAAAGAAAGACAGACAACAAAAACGAAAACAATTTTCTTTATATTCATATATTCATAGCTCACCATATGTGATATTATATTGTATTTGTAATATATTTTATAATTCTAATTTATTCAACAATATTTCAATAACAATAACAATATTTCATTTCTATTCTTTAATGTATGCATAATATTACTTATTTGCAATCAATATTAAATTAAAACAAAGTTTTTTCAATTTTCTATTAATTGCGGACGAAATTTTAAATTCGAATTTAATCAATTTGAAAGATAAAAAATGAATTCGTTTGCATAAATAATTATACAATAATATAATTGATATTAGTATTATTAATATAATAAATTAGTATTATTAATATAATATTATTATTAATGTATAATTAAATAATTAATTGAACTTATTATTAGAACTACATAATTTCAAATAGATATTTAAAAATTTTATTTTATTGATTATGTAAATTTTATTGTTTATTAATTATGTAAATAAATGATTGAAATTTATATGAAAGCTAAAGCAAATTTAAAAATTATCTATTAAAAAGTAAAAATTAAATTTAAATAAAAATTATACATTATGTATTTAATATGTATTTAATATGAATACAAAAATTAAATTTTATCAATAATTTTTAAATAATTTTTACATAATTCAGATTCCTTCAGATCAGAAGTACCACAGAAATAAAAATTAATTTTTTTAGAAATTAAAAAGATTATTTTTTGCAAAAGATTAAAAATAATGCAATTAACATACAAAAATTCTTCAATATTTTTTTTATTTTGTTTATTTTTTAAACTCTATAAAACATCTTAGTTAATTTTAAATTATTAATTATAAAATTAGTTAATTTTAAAATTATTATTATAAAATATAATATTTTTTATAAAAAATGTAAAAATATTTATATTTTTTTCTATTTCAAAGGAAATTAGTTGGAAAAAAACAATTTTTTTTCTCAACAATCTCCATTGTTTCTTATTTCATAAAGACACTTAATTTGTTTAATAATTTAGAAGAATTTTTTAATAACAAAAAAATAAAGAAAACATAAAAATTCAACTTACTTGTGAAGAACTGCTTGCCATTGACCCTGTCCATGATCTGGTGTAGGGTAGTTTATAATTTGCAATCTTGTTTTGACACGGAGTTCGTTAAGCATGTCGTCAATGTCAAAAACAAAGGGTTCTTGTCCAAAGTTTGCATCGACTACTTCTCCTGGTGTTTGAAGACCCACCGTTGGATATAAATTTGGCTAATAAAGTGATGACTAATCGTTAACAAATTTTTTTTAAAAATTTTTCTTATAAATATATTAAAATATTTATAAATAATTTTTAAGAGAAAAAAAAGATTAATATATATTATCAAGAAAGAAAAAAATATATAAAAAATAAAAAAAAATAGATATGTCTCAATAATATACTATGATTACATTTAAATATCTATAAAAAATGTTAAAAACGTTACATCAACGTTCTTATCAATATTAATATTTTGATGAGATTCATTATTTACCGGAAGATCAGTGAATGCGATACCAAGATGATGTCCATTTTTCGTATAGAAGGCAGTGTTATCTACAAGATTTACACCACAACCAATTACATCTCCTGTAGTGAACGTGGGTCCATATGGTTGACCTGTTCCAGAAGAACAGAAACTGTGTCCATCATCGCCGTGGTATCCGTACGAATGTTTGTCCCAGCCTGGTAACCTGTTCACGTTTACTCCATGAGCAGATAGGCCAATTCCCATATAACCGTCTCTGCCTTTACTGACGATCTTCACTTCGAAATAATAGAGACCACAAGCAGCTGGTATACAATGCGTTGTACGTACGCTTGCTGCATCCTTATGAGTTTTTCCATAACCTAAAATAATATATATATATATATTAATATATAATAATATATATTATAATATAATAATATATATATTATATATTATAATATATATATAATATTATATATTATAATATAATATAATATATATATATATATATATATTATTATTTATAAATTTTATGTGATTAATTAATGTGATAAAAATAATTTAAAAAATCTTATAATAAAAAATAGAAAGTAATATAAAAATAGATTTAAAAAAATAAAAAATAAAATTTAGGATAATTTGTTGATATATAATGATTAATAATAAAATTCTACATATGAGGAAACAAATTACAAATTATATTAATTATTAAACATATATTTCAATTAATTATTAAATATATATATATATATAAGAGAAACTTTAATAAATAAATAAATAAATAAATAAATAATATATAATAATATAAATTTTTATTTTTTTATATATATAGAATATCAATATATTCATAAGATTTTTAGAGATTTAATTCTAGAAATCAAAATTCATCAAACAGAAATATTAGTATACAAAAATATTTATAAATATATAATAAGTAATATTATATATAATAAGTAAAACTATATAAAATAATAATAAGGCTTTTTTTAAATTATAAGAAATTTAAGTTTATGATAAATGAAACAAAATAAAAATAGATTAGATAAGATTCCATTTTATCTCCATTCTATTTGCTGTCGCATAGTATTTTCAATCGCGAAAATAAATTTATTAAAATTTATTAAATTTATTAATTATTTATAATTTAACAAACAAGTTTCAATTGAAATATTTGTAAAATATAAGTATGATAGTATTTTTGTGTACGAAATTTTATATTTTGATCTTTATAATCAATATGAAATTTATCCTATACTGATGTTTTTAATTAATCTATTTTTTTCAAATATATTATATATATTGTAATATATAATATAATATAAATGTAAATATAAAATATATATATATAGTTATATTTGTTTCTATATTTTATATGATTTTCTTTTGCATGATATTTTTTATATAGTAAATATTCACCATAAAAAAAAACTATGTACAACTTTCTTATAATATATTATAATATATTATAATATATATACAATATTACATTTAAGAATCGTATTATTCTTTTTAAAATAAATGTGTATCTGATTAATTTTAATATAAAAGTATAATTTGAAATAGTTATATAAATCATCCAGTATATTTAAAAAATATACTGAATATGTAATATAAATTTAATTTCTATATTAAAAATTAGATTAGAACTAAATTACAATAATTATTTTTCCAATCTTCCAAGGAAAATTAAATGAAACAGCTATTTATGCCAAACAAAAAAATTTATTTATTTAATTCTATCTAAAAATTGAAGAATTCTTTCATTTTTTGTGCATACTATTATTGCATATGCACTAGCTATCACATTTTTATATAGAATTATATAAAATTCAATAATATAATACAAAAAAAATTATTTACGAATAATTTTAAAATTAAAGTCAATTATATATAAGAAAAAAGTTATTCAAAATTATTTTAAACAATATTATTCAACTTCATAAGCAAGTATATTTTTTACTGTATCTTATATAGATACATGTACAGAGTGTTAATATATTTCTTTATAAAAGTCAATTCTAGAAGCTAAAACAAATTGAAAATTATTATAAAAAAATGTCGGTTTATTAAAGTTTATTTAGTTAATCAATTTAAATTTGCAAAGTTTAAATGAAATGAGATAAAAAGAGAATGAGGTCGCTTTGTTTCCATTAAACTATTACAGTCTATTTAATGTAAAATTTATGTTAAACTTAAATTCATAATTTAATAAATAAATCTTAATCAATATTTATTGACATTTGTTAATACATATATATCAACTTTTATATTTGTTTTCTTTTGTTATTTTGAGTTTTAAAATTGATCTTCTATAATATAGATATTTCATAAATTTATTAATACTCTATATGTATGTATATATATATATATATATATATTATAACGATTCCAAATAATTTTTAAATTATTTCTTATACCAAAAAAAGTATTTCAAACAAAAATTTGAAAAAGGACATACATTATTCTAATCGTTTTGCTTTATTTTTTTTTATTAAGATATGAAAATCATATTGAGTTTTTTAAATGAAATGCAATATTTCTTCTTAAATTCTTCTTAAATTTGAATAAAGCATCAAACTTAGTATAAAAAAATATTTATAATGTATGATTTAAAATTCATTTATTAAGATATTTTTAAAATAAGTTTTATTTCAAGAGATATTTAAATTATTATTTATTATAATTAATGCAGTTATTTATTTGAATTATGAAAAATTTTTTCAAGCATTTCTGCAGATATTGCGAATACGTTCTAATAATATTGTTCTTGAATCTTCGAGTGTCGTAGATAATTAACAATAAACTTCATTTTTTAATGTTCTCTAAAGGACTATAATCGAACAGTGTTAAATTTGGCATGTAAACTATCTAATATTATTATCATATCCGATCCAGCGGTTTAAAAACATTTTTAATATTTGTAATTGCCGAACATTATAAGACAACAGTTATAATTTTTTTAAATGTATTTGAGATTATACTAAACCTTGTAATATAATTTTTTTATAGAAAAGTGAAATATATTTGACTCGTTAACGATCCATTAATGAAGTATGATCCAGTGATCTATTAATCAATTATGTCATATCAAACTTAATTGATATTGATGATATAATAAAACCAGTGAGAATTTTTTTTTATCCAATTCTAATATATAATTTTTAAATTTACTTTTTCTTACAGTTTATTTTTAGATTTACTTTTATTTATAATTTATAAATATTACTTCATCAATTTATAGAAATATACCATTTGTATTTTGAATTTGTTGCAAAAACTATTCATAAAATTATATGATTCTTAAAATTTTATTCATAAAATTTGTAAAAATGAAAAAAACATCACTACTATACTCATATTATATGAGATGTATTAATATATGGATTATGAATAACAGATAAATAAAAAAATAAGAATAGATAAATATTCTTTATTTTTTATCATTTGATTGCATCCATATTTTTGTATATTAAAGAAACAATATTCTTTTATTATTTTATATTTTATAATTTTAAAAAAGTAAAAAATAATGATGGCTTTAAGTATTTAATTTGATATAATATCTTAACCCTCGAAATATTTTTTATAAATTATATTGCATTATAAACTATTATTATATAATATTTTTCATTATTATTATAATGAAATAGTAATAGACATTTCCACAATTTCATTTTCATTAAATTTTTATATAATTGAATTTATAATATACTTATAAATACTGAAATATGTCATGATAACGATGCTTATCATGTAATAAAAATAGTGTTTATAAACACAATGTTATATTATATTATAAATCGTGTAACGATGCATAGTTTAACATAATATTAGTAATTTAAGAATATTTCAGTCAGTATTAATTTTATCATAATATTTTTTTATATTAAATTTGGTTTTTTAATTCAAATTAAAAAAAATATTAAGAACTCTATTTAAAAAATTAAAAATAACTTTTATCTCAATAAAAAAAAGCAAGAAAATAAATAAATATTAGAATAATATAAAAAAACCATGTTTGTATAATAACATTTTTTATATATAAATATATTTTTTATATAACATTTTTTTGTATAACAAATAATTTAAAAATTATTTAAAATCATTACATTACGAAATTTATTCTATACAGTATTGTTTTATAATAAATAACAATCATCTGGATCAAAATAAATATTATCCCTACTTTTTTTATAAAATAAGAAAAATAAGTATCTGTGAAAATAAGAAACAATAAATTTTTTTATTCATTAGGAATCATTTAGTGATAGAATAAAATAACATATCTAAAATATCATTCTCTTCTTTCTATTCTTCTATTATTCTATCATTCTATTTTTTTAAAAGAAATATTACTTAGTCATTATATATAACTATCTCAAACTTCTTGCTTTTCATTTTGCTTTTTTTTTTCGTCTCACTCAAAAATATACTCATTTCTATATATAATACTATGTATAATAATTTAAATTTGCAACATGAAGCGAGGTGTATTGATTATTTCTGAAAGTATTAGAAATAAAAAAAAATGTTTCAAATGAAAATTATATAATTATATAATTATATAATCAAAGGAAACATTTAATTGTTTGATTTTGAATTAATAGTGCAGTAAAAACCCTATAAAAATCACATTTTAAATTCTGAGGATTATATTAAATTTTTAAAAACAATTTTTTTTTTATTATATATTCTTATAGTTTGTTGAATTCTATTCAAGAATATTATATGTATTTTTCATAAACCATTATTGAATTATTAATTTTCAAATTTTATATACAACTATTAGTATTATTAACTTTTTAACTATTTTAACTATTAATATTATTCAATATACACTTGGAGATTGTTCATCGAATTTCGTATGTTATGGTAGTTCTAAGAAAACTCTAAACAGAATCATATTTTTATAAGTAAAATAGTATAATCTAAATATGATTATTTTTCAACATATTTTCTATTATTAAGAATACATTTTTATACATTTTTATTAATATATTGATATTGCTTTTTTTTTAAATATTATTTTTGCATATATATTATTTATACATTGACATAATTCCATTATACTTTTAATTGGAATACTTTTACTTTTTTATAAAAAGAAATATATAGCAAATAATTGGACAATCTTATTGATATGACATGTTATTAGCTCATTATTTCAATTGATTTATTTTGAAAAATTTCATTCATCAGTTTCCTATTACTAATGCTAAGATAAGATAAGATTCTGTTGGAACCATATATTTTTTTCTTTCTTGTAATTCCATATTGATCAAAATACAATCATACATTTCAAAATTACTACAATAGATGAAGTTTGACTGATCTTCTCATTTGTAATATTAATGCCGTTGTATGTACATGTAAAAGTTAA